GTAAATCCCCAAACCCTAACACATCACAAATTAAAACCAAATCTCAAAACCCTATCACAAATTGCAAGCCAAATGGACTAATTTCTACACCAAATTGAAGCCAACGTAAACTCTAAATCTTTACGATTTTAGGTTTACATCAGATTCCTTTTCGTCCGTCATTCGCTGTCCTAGGCCATCGTTCATCGTCCGTCGTCCTTCGTACTCCTTTTTGCGACCAGAGAGCGATCGAAAGGTGATGAGAGAGATCTATCGAATAAGAGGGATGAGTAAAGAGAAAGGTGAGATGATTCCTCATTCTGCAACCAAGAGAGAGAGAGAGAGGAGAGAGAGAGAGAGAGTGAGAGAGTGAGAGAGTTTCGAGATATAGTGAACAAAGGCGGAGAGGGAAAGCAAAGAGATAGAGAGGAGAGAGAAAACTAGTACTTTCAAGCTAGTCGAGCCCACACACTTTTGAGCTACGGATCATTTTTTCCGTTGTTTTATTGGCTATTTTAGGTCTGAAATGGACATTTAGCCCGTCCCGAACACCCCCAAATAATTATTTTTAGGCAAAATTATTAAAACACGGGTCAATTCCAACAATTGAGATTAAGACTAGAACCTGGGCAACTCAAAAGACGTAATAGAGCTACACAATCAAGAAGAGTATGAAACCTTTTCAACATGCAGAGATGGCACTAGCTTAAAGAAGAGATGCAGTTAAAATCTAATATACATAGTTCTATTGCTTTCAAAAATTTATGAGTCCAAGTAAAAAAAACAAAGAAAATAAATAAACAAAGAAAGATCTAACAAACACATAATTAAGTGTAGGAACACAAACGAACTATGCTCAAACTAGGAAGAACATAAATTAACTAGCTCAAACTCATTCTTGCTTTCCGTGCACCAAGGATCCATAAAAGAAGACATTGCTTAATTCTTCATGGCTCAATGGTAAATTAGAGGCTGCAAAAAGGAATGGAATGTTTTAGACAACAATCGACTCTGCATTGAATAATTAAGAAATTGAAACAAGAAAGAATTTATTGAGGAGAGAGAGAGAGAGAGACCTAGTCCACACTAAACTGGTTTCCCATCCTCTGCAAGTACCTTCAACTACAGTTCCAGCTTGATCAGCCTGATAGAGAGAAAACAAAAGGGAAATTTTATTTAATATCAAGCACCCATATACCATGAATTAAAATTGGAGTTTGTGGCAATTTTTGTGTGAAGTAGTTGAATCTGCAGAATCTACAATTCAAGCTTTCACAGCCAAAAATTATTACTCAAAAGTGATGATTTTTACCTTTTCTTCTATTCTCATTTATGCAGCATTTTCAAAAATTCAAAATTGATATTCTATCTGAATAATTACAGTCAATATGTTTTGATGGTCTGACTTCAGGGCCTATTGGAACTTTCCAGTTTTCCTTCCTTCGGAAATCTTCCTAGTTAAATCATTAGGGTGCAAGAATCTTAAACCAGACAAACTAGAACTCCAAGCTTCTATTTTTTCGCCATCTCAGTAAAGCATATTAATCAGAACCAAAAAATATATATAATTAATCAAGAGACTTACTTCATCTCATTTCATCAGTTTCATGGCCTCAATGATGCAAACTACCTGGCCTTTTCTGGGACTTGTCTCCTACCTGCGAGACACCACAATCAGAAAATCAGAGAATTTTTAAGAATGACTTGTAAGTTTGTCACTTTATCTTGAAAAGGAAAAAAAAAAAAATAAATAAAATAGGAGAAAACTAGCACATAATAGAAACAAAAGTAATGGCTGGCGGACAATACGGGAAGAGGAGAATTTCAAAATTATTCAAAATGATTTAAGAATTATGCATTATCCGATGAATTAAATTTCTACAAACTTAATATATAGCAGGATTATTCAAATTAATCTGAATTTCAGGGTCATTTGAAGGGGAACCCATCATCAGTATTCAAGATAACAGTATAAAAATTTTACTAGATAATTTTGTATACAGATAAAAAAATGAAAACTTTTTCAAGATTTTGAGTCATTTTGGCAATAACTTCTTCATCTCACAACCACACACATATAACATCCACCCAAGTACAAGTATGCCTGGCACTTGCACGCACGCACAATTGAAAGCAATATGCATTTACCTTCACAAAGGAGGAGCTCCTGGTGCAGGACAACGTAAAATGTTCCAGCCATTGGGCATTTTCAGTGAGGGATGGGACGATTTTGTTTTGCAGGGCTAGGCGAGCACTGGGCTGAAGCTGGAGGTGAGGGGAATAGGAGCACTGACCTGCGCTTGAGGGAATTTGAGATGGCCACCATGGCTTGGGCAGATGGGGTTGCATCATAACTACAGAGCTGCAACTTGCAAAGCTTCTTTTTTTTACCTCTTATACGCAGTTCTCCATCATTGCTTTAGCTGCAGTTCCATGATGTCTCTTGAATCTACCAAG